GATGAAGAGGCTCCTGGAGGCCTTGATGTGGGAGATGATCCTGCTGGCCTTCTCCTCTTCATCACTGAACCTCCTTCTGAAGTACTCCTCCTTCTTAGCATCAGTGAAGCCTCGAACTTCTGTTACCCTGGAAACATAGGAAGGAGGGACCCGATTGGCTGCTGCAGGTCTGGAAGTTATCCAGACCAGAGCCGAGGGAAGCAGGTTCCCCTTGATGAGGTTCATCAGCAGAACATTAACTGATGTTTTCTGTGTGACGTCAGAAACAATCAGACTGTTGTTGAAGTCCAGAGAAAGTCTGCTTTCATCTAGGCCATCAAAGATGAAGAGAAGCTTCCAGACAGCCAGCTTCTCTGCTGGGAGCTTCTGGAGGGTTGGATGGAAAACATGGAGCAGCGTGAGAAGACTGTGCAGCTGATCTCTGATCAGGTTCAGCTCCCTGAAGGAAAGCAGAACCACCAAGCTAACATCTTGGTTCTCTGAGCCCTCTGCCCAGGCAAGAGTGAACCTCTGTACTAAAAAGGTTTTTCCAACACCAGCGACGCCGTTGGTCAGAACCACTCTGATGGCTCCATGTTGGTCAGGTAAGGCTTTAAAGATGTCATGGCGCTTGATTGAGGAACAATGGGAGTTCTGGATCTTGGAAGCTCTCTCCAGCTGCTGAACCTCATGTTGGGTATTAACCTCTTCACTCTGTCCCTCTGTGATGTAGAGATCAGTGTAGATCCTGTTGAGGAGGGTTCTTCTTCCAGTTTCATCACTTTCTTCAGTTACACATTCACATCTCCTCCTCAGACTGATCTTATGTTCCTCTAGAACCTCCTGCAGGCCAACATCTGCTGAAACATAGAAGAGAAGATGACTGAAAGGAAAAACCTTAATTTAATGATAAAGTTGGAACAAAACCATCTGCAGCATTAGGAGCTGTATTCATTAGAGGTGACTTCCTTCACATGATGTGATGGTAAACATCCTCAGAAACAGAACCCTTTTTAATTGTCAGACAGCATTTTTTGCCTCTGTTCACTCGGCAGTATTTGACCACTGATCTGATTCCCAAAGCAGGGTAGATAAATAAATTCTGACAGAAACATTCAGCAATTGTCAGCAACATCAGCTCTTTAGAATTATTTTACTTTTCCTAATTGGTCTAGTTCTATTGGATCTTCACCTACAAATACATCAGCTCCAAAAGAAGCAGAGAGGAGATTGTTCTTCAGAATTGTGGAATCTTTTTCAATGACAACTAAAAGAAGTTATCCAGTCTTCAGAGAAATAGCTCATTGAAGCAGCTAGAGTTTACATTTAAATGGCATTTCTAATAGCACATCCTAAGTTTTTAGATAATAATTAATGGTCTGGAAATGACATGGGACCGATTTGATCATTTGGAAGATTGTCAGAATTATTCGCTGTTGTAAATAACTCATAATAAATATCCCAGACTTTTCTTACAGCAAAGAAGGTTACAAACTACACATTTAAATGCATCAAAATAACCTCCAGATTTACGGAGATGTTCAGTTTCATTGCATTTAACCGAAAGGGCTGAAAACAGAACCCATTCAAAGCAAACCCAATAGGTTGCTGGGGTTTAACATAGATGGTGCATTTACAGCAGCTGGAAATTAGTTGGAATAATTCATAATAGAGAGATTTTGAAAAATTGAGTTTTCAAATCAAACTAAAGATGTGGATTTGCTTCAACTGAGGTAATAGAAAGAAGCTCTGATTGGAGTTGTTCTGTCTTACCTTCTGCACAGCTGCTCTGATTGGCTGTGAGTAGTCCAGCTCTGGTTCTGGATCCTTCTCCATGCTGGGGATTGCTCCTCTCCCTCCGTCTGTGGAGACATTTCTTCATCAGTGAAAAATTTCAATACCAACAGGATGGGCTGTCCTATTGAAGCTGAAGATATTTATGATGATCCAGCATAAACACAGGATCAGAAGCTGAGTCAGAGGCGCCTGTGTAATTGTCTGACTATTTTCTGTCCGTTATTAATCCATACTGGTAATAATTAGGCTCCCCCGTTAGAGATAACTGGTTTCACTGCAGAGCCTTTTATGTCCTCTAACCTAACTGATTATTCCAGCTTTGTTCTGAGATCCTTCATTTTTCTAACTTGAAGATCAATCTAATTTTAATGATTTTGAAACCTTTAGGCAGAGTTTTTACATTGTTGCTCTTCTCTGCTTTGCTCCGTCCTCTGCTCATTAGCTCTCATCTCATTCACCGACACCTGCTGGTATTTGAGCCTCTGGACCTAAGTCTTTGGTGCCAGATTGTTCAAACTTCTCAGCAAGACTAACTCTAGCTTTCCCTTTGATAAGTTCTGTTGGTTCCTGTTCTTTTTCTGCCCTCGGACCTCTGAGTATTCAACCACCCCTTAGGGTTCCGTCTGCCTGGCTGTGTGTTTCCTGGACGGGGCCGCCTGTGGAGCTGGTTGACAGTTGCCTTTTGTATCTATGCTTCTTTTTCTATGTCTGCTTCTGTCTCCTTGAACCCCAGTGGGCCTCAGCAGATGGCCGCTCACACTGAGCCTGGTTCTGCTGGAGGTTTCTGGAGGTTTCAAAGGGAGTTTTTCCTCTCCACTGTCGCTACAAGCATGCTTAGTGTGAGGGATTGCTGAAGAGTCAATGAGTCGATGCAATCAACTGGTTTTCCTTAGGTAGAAAACTTTGAATCAATCTGACTGGATGATCTGGTGAACTGGAAAGTGCCTTGAGATGACATGTGTTGTGAATCGGTGCCATAGAAATAAACTAAATTGATTTGAAGTAATAGACTTTCAAATAATGCTAAAAATTCAATTTTCAATGACTTTTTAACTATCTGAAATTTAGTTTTTCACCTTTTACTTTTCAACCAAATACAGATATTTGAATGTAAATCATGTAATATTTCAATGTATTTAAAACCAATATTTTCTTGGTGGGTCAAAGTTTCTAAAAATCCTATTTGTTTTTTTTCTCACTCTTCCAAAAGTGAATTATTGGTTCAAATGTGAATAGTGATCCTCACTGTAGATCTGGGCTAAGATGTAAACATTTGGTGGAGTTTATTTAGGAGGTTAAAGCTGTGTACTTCTGTAATCTTTGTTCAACTTAAGGCTATTGGAAAGACAAGCAGAGCATTCCTAGGCTGACAGAATAAATAGAGGACAAATTGATCTTCTTTTCTTAAAATTGTTCATAAAGTATGAGAAAATATCAATCTCTACAAGCAGCTTCACTGAACCATCCTGCTGATCCATGACACACTGGTTCTCTATCTATGTTCATTTAGATTCAGATCTAAACAACTAACTTTGGACCTGTCAGTAACTTGTTGGATGGAGATGATCAGATGGTTCTGTTGGATCCAACTGAACATGATTTGGAGAAGTAGATTCTACTGGATCATGAGTTAAACCGATGCCAGTGTTTCTAATATTTAAATATCCATGTTTTTATGTTCAAATGCGCAGGATGTTGATTTAAACAGAATGTTTTAATAATTTATATTTTAATAGATATTAAACCAGATCATTTGTTTCCAGAGCTGCATAAGATAAATCATTTCAGATGATTTTAGATTCTATTGGAAACTTACTTGATGTCTGAGGGTCCAGGTTCTTCATTAAACTGTAGTGGTATATTTTTGGACCCGTCGCTCCTCATAGATGGACAGTTGGATCCTGCAGGTTCTGCTCTCTCCTCCTTTAGAACCCAATGTTCCATCTTCTGGAGTTTAGTCAGCCTGACAGAGAAACCAGAACCAGTCAGTTCCCAGTGGTTCAGTTCCAGTTAGTGTTCTATAAAGCATAAAGCTGATTCCTATCATGTGTTTAAGAGGTCCAGAGTATCCTGATTCTTGCCGAAACCATCTGGTTCTGAATTTCTTACAGCTTTATGGACCTACTGGTATCTGCTAAGTCATCTCCTCAGAATCTGGAGAATTTCTGGGTTTATGGGGGAAATTCAAGCTGCAATAGAAATGATCAAATAGCCAGTGTT